TGCCCCTGCTCTCCTACAAGTGTAACATGCCTGTAAACCTGATCACCATTACAGCCCTGGGAGCCTGTTATTGGCTTTTACAGCATATACTTAAACCCTTCTCTCTCTCGCTGTCATAACGTTATGGGTTAACACAGTTCAGTGGGATGCTCTAATTCAATGCGTCCTTCCATCTAACATGCATGATGGCCCTATTATTAGACACTTACTGCTGAGATGGTACGTCCAATTACCCATCAGTCTGCACTCGGCTTGTGTGCGAGTGTGTGTGTGTGTGCTGCAGGCCTTTGTGAATCAGCCCTGATGTCCTGATGACCCGTAAGTGTTGGCGCTTTATCACTTCACCGTGAGCAGCTCGTTCAAGCGTGTTGTGATGCACCAAAGGCTTTTGCTTACTGGACGCTCTTAAAAACACATAAAAGTTACAGGTGGAGGTTAAACGTTCCTATATACTAAAGGTCTACAACTCAATAGTCTCTACGCATTCACTCACAGCGATTCTTTCTTCCTCAGAAGAGCTCGTTGTAGTCTGGGAATTTGTGACTTTGGTTCTCAGAAGAATGATTAAAAACCCGGGTTAAAAAAATATACAATATCGGCCACGATATCGGACCATTTTAGATGTTATCAGTATAAGAAAATTTGGCCGATATATTAAAGCCGATTAATAATGGATTATTTCCCTCAAGCTGAGACACTTCAGATGTGCACTGTTTACCATGGCTGTTTTAAATTGCTTTAAATATGATTGAAATCACTTCGAAAAAGGAAAATACGGATCAGTGTAACATGAGCAGCGCAAGTCTGTTATATAGGCGACATAAAACATGAGAATATTATAATTGTGTGTTTAGGAGATGGCTTTTAATGGTGAGACTTTTGTTTTTGTAATCAGGCTCTCAAAATAGTAAATAAGAATTTTGATTTTGATTTATCGGCCAATCTATCAGTTATCATATTTCAAATATAAAGAATAATCGGTTATCGGTAGGGTGACCACCTGCTAATAAGCCCAAGGGGGGACAAAGGGTATGTTTCTGAGGGACAATGTGGGACACTGCTTGGCGCGGTGGTGCCCCCACCCCACGGGCAGACTCTGATAGTGGTTTACCCATATCTAGAATTGTTACTATTGCCTTACTGTTTGTACATGAATAATTCAAAAAAAAAAAAAAAAAAAAAAAAAAAAAAAAAAACTTACCTTAGCACATACATTAATAATGCCCTATTCCCTAAACATGTGTAATTGCTGATATGCTCATGAATAGGCCAACCAATGTGTATTTTTTTCTAAATAAAATTAATATTTTGAACATTAAATGAATTGACAGATGCACTTCCACTTACGATTTACTTTAGCTATTTAATTTTATTTATTTTTCATTACAATTAATTCACTTTAAATAAATAAAAATATAAAATTATAGGATTAACAGGAATTATAGTTGCTCAAACACCACAGGAACAGTTTTTAAAAAAGTCGAAAAAAGTCTAAACTCACAACTCCAGAGGTTCACGGAACGACAAGGTGTGCTGTCATGACAACAATGAAAAAGTTGACATCAACCTAGTCAGCAGGTCACGTGGGAATGGCAACCAGTGTTGGGGAAGTTCTCACTTTCTGAACTAGTTCAAAGTTCAGTTCACACATTTTAAAACGAACTAGTTCAGTTCAAAGTTTGCACAGAAATGTAAGATTTTTCCCCATCTTCACCGACCTCGTTATAAAATCCGATTAAATTATCATATGACGCCTTTGTCGACGGCGGCCGCGGTGCGACACTGGTGGCTTGTGTTGCCAGATTGTGTGTTTTTTCGCAACATATTAAGCCCTGTTTACGGTGAGTTTTAGCCGTGTTTTCGCCTGGTAATCTGGCACCCCATTGAACGAAGTTAAACTGAGAGAGCGTGCGTTCACAGACACCAGAATGAACGAGTTCACACGTTAATCAGGACAGGCAGTAAAACAATACGTTCAGTTCACCCAAAATATGAACGAGTTCATGAACGTGAACGAGTTCAGGCACAACGTTTGGCTGCCTGGGTCTCGAGGATATAGACTGACCGACTTTTTTTTTTTTTTTTTTTTGAGCAAGCATTGATTATGCGTGACACGGTCTCAATTTGCGGGACGCATGAATTGGGCTTCAAACGCTGTGCGCGCACGCGCTACGCGGGACGGGTGGTCACCCTAGTTATCGGCCAAAATTTTCATATCGATACAGTTTCTCAAACTAACCCATCGCTGCACATTTCAGATCTCCCTTATTTAACGGATTAGTTCATTAGCTCACCAACCGCTCAGTGACCTGAATTAGGCATGTCAAATAAACCAAAATGTGAAGTTATGTGAGATTCGGTAGAAAAACAGCCCAGAAATCATATGCAATAAAACATGCAACAGATAATCAACAAAATTATAACAATTAAAGGCTTGAAATATCTCATTTTGCATGTAATGAGTCTATATAATATATTAGTTTCACCTTTTAAGTTGAATTACTGAAATAAATGAACTTTTGCACGATATTGAAATTGTTCGAGTTTCACCCGTTTATAAATATGGGATGCAAAAACAGTAACATTATGAGTTAAAATTGTGAAATAGAAGTTGCATTACAAAATAGATGCAAATATGAGATTTGTGAGACGAACAGATGCAATTAAGAGAAATAAAAAGCCATTGGGAGACAGGAGGTCAGAATTGTGAGATATAAATGTTGCAATTCTGAAAAACAGATCCAATTGGAAAGTATACGTTTGCAATTATAAGAAAAAAAAATTGTGAGATAGAAAGTTAGATTTGTGAGAGAGAGAAAAAATTACTAAAAAGAGATATAAAACAAGAACTGTGAGATTGAGAGTCAAAAATTAGAGATACAAGGTCACCGTTAAAGGAAACAACCTGCACACAAACATCCTCAATTCACACAACCTAGAACAGGTTAGACACACAAACACACGACAGATGCTCGTTTCTTCTTTCCTGAACACCTAATCAAGCCCGCAAAAGGCAGCGCTAACTAACAGCGAAAGATGAGATCAGAGCATCAGTCTCGGCGATAACATAATTTCACTGCGTTTGTGAAGTCGGGTGCGAGCAGAGGGCAGGGTGTTAGCCTGAGGGGGTATTAATGAAGAACATTTGGGGGTCAAAGCCATTAGGGAGGACGTGCCACTCCTCATTACAGCACTCCACGGGGTCAAACAGAACAATAGAGATCAAGGTCACAGGTCACAGCCTCGCGACAGGCTGCTCATTTCACCGACACACACACACACGTATGTTCTTCGCTTTTCAGTGAGGCCACAGATGCTGGTGGGGGAGGGGTTATGCAAATTAGGGTAGTGCATTACTAACCCAGAGGGGCGGAGCTTACTTATTGCAGGACTGATTTGCATAAGACAAAAATGCATGGTGTTAATATCTCTCTCACACACATTCCTGTCTCTCTCTCTCACGCTCATTTCGTCACTTTCTTATTCTCGTTTCTGTCTCTTCTCTCTCTTAATCTTCATAGGCGACAGCAGACGCGGGGAGATCTTAAACAAGACAGATCTCCCCTCTGATGGCTTTTTCAGCGCTGAGGGACTTGAATTCAGTTCCCGCTGAACGCCGGAGGAATCGTTTCCCGCTGCCGTAAGAGATAAATCATTAAAGTGGCTTCACCTGAATCTACAAATGCAATCTGCAGCGTTTAGACACACTGGGCCGAGACGCAGACAGCTCCGGCTGAGCGTCCTTCACGTCACAAGAGGGGACGTGATATCATCCTCAATAGCTCCACCTGATGGACACAGGTGGAAACCAACACCCCTTAGGGCCAAAGACTAGTTTAAACCCATGTGTGTGTGTGTGTGTACTGAATCCTGCAGTATAACAGCACTAGAACTGGTATGTTATTTGTATGCTAGATAGGGCTAAACTATTTGCCTTAAATTATTACATATACAATTTAAATGAATAGATTTTTAGCAAACTGTGATGTGTATATGTACATTTCTGAAACACATAACTTAGACAGTTTCCTCTGATAACAGTCACTCTAAATTGTAATGTGGACTCGTGCATTGTGAAAAGCAATATACAAATAAATGTGCGTTGAATTATTTGGGGATAAAAAAAAAATCTATGGCGATTCGTGAATTAAAATGTGAAATAAAAAAATACTGCGCTTGTATGTAAAGCAAACACCAGGCTGAGATTGATGAATCATTCTGCCCTAATACTAGTATTAACTTTTAAGGAAACTTTTGCTGATAATTTACTCACCCCCATGTCATCCAAGATGTCCATGTCATTCTTTCTTCAGTCGAAAAGAAATTAAGGTTTTTGATGAAAACACGTTCGTGACTCTCCTGTTCATCAAAATCAACGAATCTTTTTTCGAGTCATTTCGTTCATTTTTGAAAAAAAGATTCGTTCATTTTGAGTTCGAACAGGAGAGTCACGAACGTGCATCACAGAACAGAGCAAGGCGAGCATTTGAGCTTATAAAACTTAAACTTTTTTATTTATTTTTTAAATGGCCAACCCTTATTAATCGTCTGGAATCGTTTAAAGCCCTTTGAGCAGTTTGTAGTTCGCACTGAAACTGTCTTTTGGACCTTGAACCGTTTGGACCCCATTAAAGTCCATTATATGGAGAATGTTTTCATCAAAAACCTTAATTTCTTTTCGACTGAAGAAAGAAAGACATGGACATCTTGGATGACATGGGGGTGAGTAAATTTTCAGCAAAAAGTTTTTTAAAAGTGAACTACTCCTATAATACAAGTATGTGCCGTCGCTTGTCACCTGTTTTTAAAATACTTAAGTCATGATAGAATTTTTATACTTTTTTAAAAATAATTTACTCAAGTGCTTTGGATTGTTTTTGTTTTTTAGTTTTTTTATAAGTATTATTTGCTGATAGTGTCTCATAGTCTTAACTGAAGACGTAAAAAGCCTTTGTAAAAGTGTGTGTGTGTGAATGTAAGAGTGTGTTTGAGAGTCTCACATGTTGCGTGACTGCAGCGCCGCAGACTGGGTCATCAGAGAGGGCGGGCAGCTGATGATGAGTTTCTGAGCTCGACCAATCAGATCCTCGTACGGCAGATCCTGAGGCATCTGAGACAGCAGGTGATGAACGCTGGCCATATCACACTCGCTGCTCTTCACTTCCTTCTCTCTGTACAACACAATCTGACGAGAGAGAGAGAGTTACGATGTTAAAATTACACTTCTGACGGCCCTTGCACACTGAGTTTGAAATTTTCGTATGCGTTTTTTTCGTGTTCGTGATTCGGTGGATCTGAATCATCAAAACACCATTCACACTGCATGCTACGGATGCGAAAAACGCAGAAAATCGAACCCGATCTGAATTTTTTTTATGACGGTCGAAAGTTTCGGAGGCAGCGTGATTGACGTAACGTGAGGTCGTGTTTATTTTTTAACGTGCAAAAATTTCGGACGCGAAAATCAAAGTCACTCCAGTAGGAGAGGTTTCGGTTCAAAGAAGTTTGAGGTTCATAACGTTTTTTTATGTATAATAAAACAATAAACTAGTTTCATGTAAACTAGATGGCCATAAGCAGAAATATTCAGGTCAGAACAAGAAAAAACACTTTGAAAACCAAAGGCACTGAAGGATTTACCCAAAACTGTTTATTTGGTGCTTTACAGTTTTTTCTTTTTGTTTGATTTATATATTAATAATAATTTTATAGGATTTAATTTTAATAATAATTTTTATAAGATTTGATTGTGTAAATGTTTTATATATAAATAATCTAAAAAAATATGTGAATAAAAAAAAACGAACTATAATGCAGTAAATAAAAAAAAAGGATAATACATAAAAATACTAACTGTGAATGATTTTTGCAATTTAAAAATCATATAGAAAAAAAAAACAGAATTAGCTGAAATTGTGTTAAGGACCATTTCTGCAAAAAATAAGTTTTTATAGCTTTCAAATTGCCTTTTCTGTTTTTTTAAGCATAAAACCTAAAATCTGTCATACTCAAATTAGAAAAAAACAAAACAAACTAACTTAATCTTACCTTAACCTTAATTAAAGATAAATTTTCTAAAAACAAGTCACACAAATATTGTCTTTTTTGCTTTTAAATTGATATTGTTTTAATATAAATAAATAAATATATAGAACTCTCGGACTAAATCTAAAATATATTAAACTGTGTTCTGAAGATGAACAGAGGTCTTACGGTCATTAATGACATAATTTTCATTTTTGGCTGAACTAACCCTTTAAAAGTACAATAAATGTTCACATTTTTTTAAGAATTGTTGAAAGGTGCAACAAATGCAACACGTTCCCAAACTCGTGACTGACCAAAATAATCATGATTATGATTTTCTTCCCATAATCGAGCAGCCCTAGCCATACCCATAAAATAAAGCTCAGCTCGCAGATGTTCATTCACCCTCCTCACGCCGGTCAGAGGTCGAGCACGAGCGGCTCACAGCCGAACCGCAGCTCATCCACTACCTAAGATGCAGGGTGAACTATATTTCCGGCTGGCTTTCTTATCCTGACTTCAAACGGCCCCCGGCCCCCGTTGTCTCTAACAGGGGAGCTGCTCGTGGAGACAGAAGAAAGAGGCACGGCGTTTAAAGGATTCTAGCACAAACACGCAGCCTTCCACACAAACCTCTGGTGAATTCATTAGAGTTGTTTAATTAACTGATCCCGCTACAACAAAGTGCCCTCGATTCTCGCATTAGACGAGGAAGGAGTGGAAAAAGAGAAGAAAAGTCTTTGCCTCTCTTTTGGAAAGAGGTTTGTTGTTGTTGTGCTGATGAATTAGCGATCGCATAAAAACGCGAATTAACAAATACGCAGGCAAAACATGGTAAACAACGTCTTGTTTCTGGATTACAAAAGCTTGTGCGGAGTCTGAGGGGCGATTGTTCAGTGTTGCTGTAATTGCAGAGTATAAACAACTGTTCTTAGCAAAAGAGCGCTGGTCTTTAATGTTGGACAGATGTTAGACGGATGTGCGTCACATGCAGGATTTTATAGAAATATACCCATAATGAAATTCAAATTCAGTATTTTATAAATTATCAGTTTAGAGATAAAACAGGACATTTTAAGAAATTGTTTTTAATTATAAGTTGAAGTAAACGCAATCAAATATTATAGTAGTAATTAAATAATACTATAAAATCTCATTTTAATCAGATTAAATAAAATTACATAAAAACATATTTATCTCAGTTAGTTACAAAGGCATCATTTTTAATTGTCATTTACAACAATTACTAAAACTAAAATTAAAATAAGTGATATATATATATATATATCTCACTTATTTTAATTTTTGTTTTAGTAATTGTATATATATATATATATATATATATATATATATATATATATTTCACTTATTTTAATTTTTGTTTAGTAATTGTATATATATATATATATCTCACTTATTTTAATTTTTGTTTTTAGTAATTGTTGTGCTGTTGTAAATGACAATTTAATATATATATATATATATATATATATATATATATATATATATATATATACTGTATAATATAATAAATAAAGAATAAATATTTATTATCACTATTAAAAATAAAAAAAACTTAAATGAAAATTAACTGAAATAAATAAGTTTAAGTTTAAGTACTAAAAATAAAATAAATGAAAGCTAAATAAAATAAATAAATTATAATAAATATTCTTATATCAATAAGTATTGTTTAATATTTAATATTAATTAAATCAAAATGTACTAAAATAAATACGTTGAAGTATTAAATAAATACGTTGAAGTACTAAAATTACTATCAAATAAATGAAAGCTAAAAATAAATAATAATAATGTCATATTTTAATATTTATAATTTCATATTTAAATTTTAAATAATACTACAGAATAAATAATAATAAATGTTAGATTAAAATCTTAAATGAGAATTAGAAATATTGCCTTGGAAACTAAATAGTTGAAGTGAAGTGAGGGTCTAAAATCAGTAAAAATGAAATAAAAATATCCAGTATGAGCACATATACAATAATAATAAGTCTGCATTGGGCCAATCATCTGAGACGGCACGATTACTCCGCACTCTTTACAGTAAGGGTCATTTCACACTGTGTTTCACTGCACAGCTAGTTAATTGTTTTTCTATGTAAACATGAACTAGACTGTTAACTGTTTTATAACGTCTCTCGTCCCCTTTTTCAGCATCGCAGTCTCACGTTTCTAAAAATGCAAAGCTCATATTGATTCCCATTTTTAAAAGCATTCAATGTGAACGTCCCTTTGCGCCCGTCACATTTATAAGGAAAAAAAGGTTGTCAAATTAGACAGATGAAACTAAAAAGCTTCTGGTGCTGATGTGTCAATGGTATCTTACCAGTAAAAATGTGTATTGGTGTATTTAAGATAAAAAGCTGCTTTCAGATTTTCAAAACTAATTTGAATGTGTGAAAGCAGCCTTTTCGGCATTTTTAGGATGCCCGGTCAAGTTAAAAATAGTTTTAAAGAACGCTTCTCGCTCACGAACACTGAAAAGGTCAGAACGCAGCACTGCCTCGATCGAGTCCTTGAAAGCCGGGAGATGGACCGACTAAAGTGAGAGAGAGATGCTCGTCCTCACCACAGCGGCGAAGTAGATGGCCATGAGTGGGTGAGACGCCAGGAAGAAATCATAGAGCCGCAGAACATGCCGGAAATCTGACAAGACGTAGCCGTACCATGTGATCAGCCAGCTCAGGGCGAAGATGGTGCCCACCTCAGACCTGCAACACACACACACAAGCCATTATCAGCAGAATCAACATCATCAGGTCAAACTGAACAATTTCACATCATATATATTATTATGTTTTGCATATTTTCCATCTTGGTCAAACTATCTATCTACAATTTATTACCGATTCTATTTATTTGGATAAAGAGATTTTTTAATTTATCTTAAAAAAATGAGTTTGTCATGTCATTTTGCTGTGTACTGAACCTATTCAATGCTCCATCAACAAATGACAAATCGCTATATTTCCTTGTTTAAAATGTACCGCAAGATGCAGTTTCCAGTTTCCAAACCTATTTTTAGCCCAAACGAGAAACAGCCTCTCGTCTCGACTCTCGATCAGAATTCGGTGAGCGCTCTACGCAATCCAACATGGCGGCACTCGAACAGAGGTTTGTTTATGTTCATTCATTGCTCAAAATGAGTGCTGGTTTTCTAGTCGACTAGTAGTAGTTCATTTAAGCCATTAGTCTAATCACATATATTTATTAGGGCTGTGCAAAAATTAATTGCGATTAATCGCATCCAAAATAAAAGTCTGTGTTTACATAATATATTTGTGTGTATGCATGCATGTATATATTTAAGAATTATTTGCGCTTAAATTCTGTATATATAAATAAATACATAATCTATATTATATAAATATAAATATTTTATATATGAATAACACATTTTCTTAAATATATACATGCATGTGTGTGCATTTATATATACAAAATAATTATATACAGCACACACAAATATATTATGTAAACACAGACTTCTATTTTGGATGCGATTAATCGCAATTCATTTTTGCACAGCCCTAATATTTATTATATTGATTTAATTACTTAAATATAGTATATAATTACTAGAATATATAATTACTTAAATATGGAAGAGAAACCATAATGAGCGTTATAGTAGTATCTCAACGCACGCATAAAGCTTGCCACAAGGAACCGGTGATTTTCTTGAGAAAATTTGCCGTTTATTGTAACTGATATCCAAAATAATCAATATCGAATCGAATTGCAAGCTTGTGAATCGAAATCGAATTGTGAAATTTGTGTCAATACCCAGCCCTAGAAAATTCAGCTTTGATCACAGGAATAAATTACACTTTACTATATATGTTCACATAGAAAACAGTTATTTTAAGTTACTTAAATAATTAAATAATAATATTTAACAATAGTTTTTTGTTTTAATCAAATAAATGCAGTCTTGGTGAGCAGAAGAGACTTCTTCAAAAACATTAAAACTCTAACCGATCCCAAACATTTTAAATGGTAGTGTATATTTGGTGTCCATGTACTGAGGTTTGTGATCCCCGCAGCAGTCGACACAAACTCGCATTCATTCATCGCGTGCCTCATGTAGAGCATGTACCTGGCATTAGTAAACATCCTCAATGGCAACATGACCTTTCGAAAGTGCCTCTAATCTGTGAAACTGACATTCAAACATGACAGGACACAGCAGAGCTCTCCCGAAACTCCTCTAAAAACCCGCCGAAGCATTAGCATGTGCAAAACACAGGAACGCACGTTTGACACGTTCATTAATCACAGTCACTGATATTCCATGTGAGCAATTTAACGGCGCTGTGGGCCTTTTCTCTGCCCTGTAAAAGTGCTGCAAGGTCACGAGCACATGCCGGACGAGGATAAAACTCTCCGCGTGACCAATAACAATAGGAATCGTCAGCGGTACGACAGTGGTGATATTTAAGAGCTCAGTAAATGTTGCACGCACAAACAGGAACGGAAAAGCAGCAACATTTCTTTTTTTAGGGCTTTTTAAAAGTTCTGCGGTTTTATTAACTTGTTTGGAAAGATTCATAAAAGCAAAAGCAACAGCACCTGAGTGAGCAACACCATTAAACCTGTGGACCGCGGCGAGACGCGCCGATGCAATATTTATGAAGAAGCTCTTATTCTCTACATTTTAGATGAGTCGCCATTAAAAATAACCTGCTTTTACAAACTAGAGCTGGGAAAAGCCTCACGCAATGCAGAGCTACAGGTTAATGTGAACACACTCTCTCACACACACACACACAGGGTCGACATACGTTTTTTGGATGTCATAAATGAATCATATATCAGTGATTCTGTTGGCTTGTCAAACCGAATGGTTCTCACACGGACAAGCAAGAACGCACGCAACTTTACGCATCAGGTTTCAAAGGACAAATAAACAACACATGGCTGTCAAAAGCTGGAACGCAAGATGACATTGAGAGTGTGTGTGTGGAATACACAACACTTTAAACTGTGTGACACAGAGCTCAACGATAAAGATAATCCATGTGCGTGTGTGTGTGTGTGTGTGAGTTTCAGCCCAGATCTCACATTTCTACAATCTATCTTATTAGGGCTGGGTATTGACATAATGATTATTTGGGATATCAGTTCCAATAAACGGCTATAATTTTTATATTATAACCATTGAGAAATAATTTTCTCAAGGAAATCAAATCTCTTAACTAATGCTGTAAACTAGTTGTAGCCTATAGGCTTCATTAGCCTAATATGAAGTTAATAATGAACTGTTTTGTAGCTATACAAACACTTAAATTACACTTTTATAATATAAGATTATATGAAATATAAACATTTAAATGGTGGCTGTCATAAACACTTGCCAGATTTATTCAAATACGCATTAAATATTGAAGAACATTAAGATTATAATGCATGTGTAATATGGTGCATATATTTAGAGTTATTTTTCTAGCTGACTAACGAGTTTGTGGGTTTTCTGAGGTAAATATGACGATACATTGATTACAAGCTGTTGACGTCTTTCCACGGTTGAAACGCTGCTTGAGTGAATCAATGTGACATGATCCGGATTTCGATAAGTTGTACTCTATCTTTAACACACTTTCAGATGCTCATTCATGTTTATTTGGCGCTGTAACTGGTATTATTAAGCCGGAAGAGAGATCAGCGCTGCTGCTTCTCCAGAGCGATCTCACGCCACAGCGACAAAAAGCTATTTATGTTTTTGAATTTCTAAAGAAAATGGACGTAATTTGAAAATTGAGAGTTTGTTTCATATCAATAGTAACAAAGGACAAAGATTATTACGATTTTTTGGATGCGCACAGCCGCGATACAATGTCCCATTCATTCAAATGAAACAGGATGACTAATCGATTCTTGAGATTTAAGAATCGATATCGGTTCGTAAAAATGAGAATCGATTAATATCGAGAAATTAATATTTATTACCCAGCCCTATATCTTATAGTTACTGAACAACTTGTACATGCATTTTATGCAAACTTAAATATTTGTCATTTCTGTGAGGTTTAACTACGTCTGCTGATATGCATGATAGCGAGCATACATTAGATGAGGATTTATCAATATTGGAAGAATGATTACTGTACAACAGGCTGAGTTTCATGTTTTCAGCATTCTGAGTAATATTTAATGCATTTTTTTTATTTACTAAGAAAACAAACATCAACGACAAAACAGCTTAATCATAACAGTAACATACAATACGAGTAGGGCTGGGTATCGTAACAAAATATTCGATACCGATACCTTGACTTCGATACCAGTTCCTGATACGGTACCAATTTTATGTAACCAGTTTTAACAATATAATATTACCTAAATTTTTATTTGATTTTTCAGTTTGTTGACTTTTTCACACTCATATTTTAAGTATAACGCGTAAACTAGTGTTTTCCGCCACAGCCAATCATGCTGCATGCTTATTGTTTCTTATTGTCTGACGTTGACGAGATTAACCATTTAGGTACTGAAAATTGGTACCGAAAAACAAGACATGTTTCAATACTCGGTAGTACCAAGGCAATTAAGTCGGTACCTAAAAAGTACAGAACTCTGTACCCAGCCCTAAATATGAGATAAGCTAAACACACACGGTTTAACACGTACTCTTTTTTTTCTTCCAAAAATAAAAATACAAACAAAATTAAAAGAACAAGAAATAAATAGGTTAATAAAAATCATTTTAAATTCCCGAGTAGAGGCACACCAACTAAACATTACGCATTTTAGGCTTAAACATAACTCTAATAATTTACAAAAGATTATTTATTTATTATAAATCATTTCATAAAGTGGGGTGAAAAAAAAATCTAGTTCTTCAGTAGATTTTCTCTATTAGCTGCACAATTATTTGATGTAAAAAAAGATAGTTATATTTAATATTTTTATGACATTTATAATAATAACAATACCCAAAAAACGGTTAAATGCAGAATTAAAATGTTGACATCTGGCCCAACCAGAACAAATGTTGAGCCCTGTGACAGTGACTCTGATAAAACAGTCTCCAGTGAGATTATTACATAAAGCGCGTGTGTGTGTGTGTGTGTGTGAAAGAGTGAGTGTCCTTGCGGAGAAATCAGTTTTATAACTGAGTGAAGAGTACATCACAGTACACACACTGCTACTCCCCTTCTCTCACCTGATTCAATGTACACACACAGCTACTGGAAGGAAACAAACGTGGACATTTGAGATTCATGTCACAGATTTCAGCAGCTTTTATAGTCTCAGACAGTGTATAAGTGGGAAATAACTCTGTTAGAAGGCGTCACTCCCTCATAACTCGGTCTACGTGTCTAAAGACGCCCTCTGCTGCCCTCTTCAGGACAGGGAACTACATTAACCTCAAACGGTCACACTAAAAAGGAGTATTCCCTTTGACATGGATCTGTTGTGGTGTTGATTACCAGACAAAATTGACTTGTCCCTCAGTTTAAACTTACTTTCATTCAATCATTCCAGAAGATAAGCAACAAATACTTGTTGCAAAAAAAAATGTCCATACAAAAATGTGAACTGTAAATTTCCCTACTTAGAGGCAAGACTTTTTTGATTGGAGGATAAACTTCTGGTTATGAAAGTTATGCAAGACATTCATCAAACCCACCAATCAGTTCATCTCCTAAAAAACAGCCTTGAGTGGTTTACTGCTTTTATAAAGTGGTGGCAATGGTCATTAAATAACTTAGTAATACTAAATCATTCACACCAAAAAAAGCAATTTAGTTTATTAGTCAAACTGGAGACCGTGTACAGCCGATTATTGAGGTGTTTATTAACAAAAGCTTCAAACACGACTCAACTAATCTGGATTTAGCGTTTAATCTCTGTGGTTCATCTAATGTAATCTCTGTAATTGATCCACGTTCGTATCTGCATATTCTAGATGCACATGAGCGTGGATCAATCGCAGATAATCACTTGTCAGCATAACACAATCGAGTCTACCTTATCATGAAGTCGTGCAACTCTCGGTCGACTCGCTCCAGAATGGGCATCAGGTAGTTCAGGATGTGTTTTGTGTTGTCCATGGTGGGGTCCATGAAATCCCTGCAGTTCGCAAGAGAAGACGACAAACACACAATAAACGTCTGAGGATACGTCATTATCACTATTAGGGGTCGACCGATATGTGATTTTCAGGGCCGATGCCGATACCGATTATTACAGATCAAATAAACCGATAACCGATATTTTGAACCTATATATATATATATATATATATATTAGGGCTGTGCAAAAATTAATTGCGATTAATCGCATCAAAAATAAAAGTCTGTGTTTACATAACATATTTGTGTGTGCTGTATATAATTATTTTGTATATATAAATACCTATGCATGCATGTATATATTTAAGAATTATTTGTGCTTAAATTCTGTATATATATATAAATACATAATCTATATTATATAAATATGTTATATATGAATAACACCTTTTCTTAAATATATACATGCATGTGTGTGTATTTATATATACAAAATAATTATATACAGCACACACTAATATATTATGTAAACTTTTATTTTGGATGCGATTAATCGCAATAAATTTTTGCACAGCCCTAATATATATATATATTTATCCTTTGTTTTACCAGGATAGTCCCATTGAGATAAAAATCTCTTCTTCCAGGGAGTCCTGGCCAAAATGGCAGCACAAAAAAGTTTCACATAAATTACAATACAGACATAAAACTAAATCTTACATACAATTTTAACCAGGGCTCATAAAATAGACAAAAGTTCATTGTGATCGTACTTGTCAAAAGGTTTAATAGACATTGAGCCGAACCACTTTGATTTAGGACCAAGATCCCGTGGGTGAATCGATCTTATACCGATTAATCGTGCCGCTGTAGGTCAGGTTAACTCACCTGAGATGATGATTGGACAGTTTCTCCATTATCGCGATGGTCATCCTCTCTCCCACCACCAGCAGGAAGGTCACCACGAGGTCATGATAACCCTGGTAATAGTGCAGTTGAGGATTTCTCCTCAGGACATCCAGAATGATGTCTATCAGCTGCTCCTGGAGAACCTCTCGCTCGTCCACACGCATGCCTGAGAACCATTACATCAACAGCAAAACAAGTCATTTTAGTAGAAAAGCAGGGCAGAAAATGAATTATTCCAACAACACAGGGTCAAATACACCCTACAGACATGATGAAGTGTAAAAGTCGCATTATTCTTCTTAAAACCTCAACTGTCCAAATATCACATGGGAAGCTCAATGTATTTGTGATCAGAGTAGGGCTGAACAATTAATTGCATTTTCAATAATATTGCGATATGATTATTTTTTAACCGCGACACTCTGGTCACGTCACACGCTAGAAAAGCAGTAAAACCAATTTTTACATTATAAAATATTTTAAAAACATAAAAACTTGTTATTTTAATCGTGATTAATCATTAAATATTTGTGATCAATCGATTTTTTTTAATAGATTGACATATATATATATATATATATTAGGGCCGTCAAACGATTAATCACATCCAAAATAAAAGTTTGTGTTTACATAATATATGTGGCTGCACTGTGTATAATTATTTTATATATATATATATATATATATATATATATATATATATATATATACACACATGCTTGTATATATTTAAGACACATTTTGATGCATATACTGTATATAGATTTATATATAATTTATATTACATATAAATATAAATATTTTATATATAAATAATATTTTTTTCTTAAATATACATGCATGTGTGTGTATTTATATATACAAAATAATTATACACAGTGCACCCACATATATTATGTAAACACAAACTTTTATTTTGTATGTGATTAAACACGATTAATCGTTTGACAACCCTAATATATATATATATATATATATATGTGTGTGTGTATATATATATATATATATATATATATATATAATATGTGTGTGTGTGTGTGTGTGTATACGTATAAAACACTAAACTAATATAATATGTGTATTATAAATTTGCACTCAAATTGTTATATTATACTGATACTACAATCTCAAATAAAATTGTTATTCAAGTTAATATAATTAGGTAATGGAAGAAACTACTGAATTAAAGTAGTTTGTCTTATTTTTTTATTTGCAATGAAAAATCTAGTTTTCAAAATCAATTTTTTCATGCTTTAACTGTAAACTTCTATGGCATACAAGACCACCCACATCTATACTTCTATCATCTCAACTGGTTTATCACTCAGCCCTGATATGTCTCAAGACTCTCCAGACTGAGTCCGTTAAATCATGTGATGGTTTGTCATGTTTACTGACTGATATATCAGATTCTGACCTTTCGGGAAACGCCGCATTGACCTCCTGACATCGAGCACCACTTGTCTGTAGTCTTTGTGGTTTTTTCTGACATCTTTGGCTTTAAAAGAGGAAAATAAGAAAAAGTAAACATCACTGAAGTATCTGTGGCATGTTCCAGACACACAAACTCACACACTTACAGGGTTTGGCAGGCAGACTGTACACATTGATGCTGAGGAGTTTGGGCCAAACTTTTCTCCTAATGTCATCCGTCAGCAAACCGCCTTCGCTCACAGCCGCCCGCCGCAGGGTCTCGATGTCCACGGGGTCACAGGTCAGGGCCTGATGGATATCAAGCAGCTTCTGTTTCTTCCAGGGCAATTGTTCTGCAGATAAAGCACAAAAAAAATCTGATGCAGGGTGCAAAATTAATGCAGAGAGTAAATAGTTAATGGCCATTTGGCCGCTAACGTCCTTGGAAATTTAAATGTGTGTGGCTTAAATCAATGTAAGAAACATTTTATCTTGTCAGGTGATATCTGATGCAGTCTGTATAGGCAAATCAAATCAGAAGTCTTCTAATAACTTTTAACGTTACCTCAGTGGAAAGTAAACTGGCAGAAGTAAGAAAAGCTTTTGTACACAAAACTTCATATAGAGGTTAAAGCACCAAAGGGGGGTGACATAATGCAAATAATATATATATATATATATATATATATATATATATAGTATACCACATATATAGACATAATGAATCTCGTATTCATTGATGTGACATTAAGGACCATAATTCAATGACATTTTAACAGTAACACAACTGACATAATACTGGACCTGTCAATCATTCAGTGTCAACATAATGGGTCTTCGTACACGTTCAGTGACATACCAAAAGTCTTAATTACATACATTTAATGATTTTCTAAGAGACACCATAACGGACCTCTGACACAGTCAGTGACATTATAACTGATTTCCCTCATACATTCGGTAAGTTTATAATGGACCGACACCGGTAACTTACCTTCGTGTCTCCTGACAGACGCTTGCGATCCGCTCGCCGGCAGTCGCTTCCTCGCTTTTCTCATCTCTTATAGAGACTCACAGTCATGAGCATATCAAATACATGCGGTTGTGTTCACGATAATATCATTTTAATTCAAAACTGGCAGTAAAAACGAAAGGAAAGTGGCATTTATGATTCCCGTCAGATCTGTGTCGTTACGTGGAGAGGAGTGCTCGTCACCCAAGCTTTACTAGTCGTCTCTGATTGGCTGGCAGTGCCGGTGACTCACTCAACAGAGACTGCTGTCGACGTCTCAGCTGATTGGTTTAAAGCAGTTTAAAGACGTCAAGAGGCTCAACGCCATTGGCTCATTTCAAACTAGATTCTGCACCTGCTCATAATGACAGGCATGCGGCGTGTTTGTATTTACAAATAGGTCTACTCTATATGAGTTATGTAATACATCAAACTGGCTGAAGCAGCTGCTAAACCACAATTTCAAGTTTCAATATATATTTTTCACCTTTAATTTTTGAAAAACCCAGTATGTGTCCTAATCAAATCAAAAGAGAAAATTCAGATAACCTATTCATAAGAGAAATTATAGACATTCTTATTGCAAGTTGTCTGTTGAAAATCTGCAGCTTCCTAATGTGGGACAGTTGTGTTCCCAATGTGGGACACTGAAAAATCTATGATAAAATACCAAAAATGACATTGATACATTTTTTATTTTTTTATTTTAGATAAGTCTTAGTTAGTAATTTTCTTTGAATGAATGAAACATGTAAAATAACAAAATCTTTAGTTAAATTATCCATTTCCAGTAAACCAGTCTCATAGTCCATAAACAAGACCATTATAGTGATGCATTTGTAAAACACCTAAAAATAAACAGATAAACTTTGGACCAAAATAATTAGGTATAATTACAACTAAAAAATAAATGTACAATTGTTTCTGTTTCCTCTTTACCAGAACAGCATAATGGAGAAACCCCCTCTTTAAACTCACTGATAAAATCATTACACATGGATATTTATTATTTTAAAGTGAGTTTCTTTGACTTAATATATTAGGAATTACATATTTCTTAATATCTGACCACAGATTCTGAAAAAAGGTAATAAAAATCCTGTTTCCATTTCATAAATGCCTTAGGTGAAACATTTTTTTCTTTAGTTAAGATTTGTCTAATATAAACATTATTCATATTTTTATTAAAATACATTTTTAAAAACATGCACCACCACACATTTTTGACTCATTGTGTTTTATGACATTTGGCAAATCCTGTAGATGGCTGTAAAAACAGTGTAATCAGATGCTTTATGGCTCCGTGAATTGTGCCATGGTGCATCAGGGTGTCACCGCGCTCATTGCGCAACCTTTACGCAGCGCGGATGGCTTGATGCGCCGCGTCCTTTTCGATTTGAGCGTGATATCAAACGTGAAGAACATGAGAGGAACAAGGTGTCTGTTTGTTTCTCTATAATCGCGAACATGGGCGACCGAAGCGAGAGGGGTTCGGCGAAGCACAGAAGGAGAACCACGATCTCCGGAGACGCGGCGGCTCACGCGAAGCGCAGCGGCACAGCAGACACTCTCAGCGGGCAGGTGAAGGAGAAAGAGCCGAGACACGACACATCCGCGAGTAAACAGAAGAATCACAGCGACGCTGGAGATGACACGTTCAGGTAAAAGATGCTTGTGAATTACTGTGTTTTGACTCGATATGTGCAGCGTCTGTTTATCTGGGTACGTTAGAGAGAAAGATGCTTGTATAGTAACAATTTATAGGCCCATCCATCCAGTATGTAGGCATTGCATATTACATTTCCATCTTTATTTCATATAAAGGTCTACAGAGGACCCAAAACTTATTTGGACACTTCAGTTACAAACATTTCTTGATGTCATTGCATTTTTTGAATGATAAAATGATAGTTAAGCCTATATTAAAGTTGCTGCCACATTTTTTAAGTACAATCAACTTTGAAGTCATTTCTTAAATTACATTAAACTGACTTAAAAAATGAGTTGAATCTTGTATAACTTATCAAAATAAGGATCACTTATTATAACTATATCTTGCATAACTTATTTCAATTTTAAAGCAATTTTTAAAAAGCAAAAAAGTGATGTAAAAACAAATGTTGTAATAATTTTATTGATCCTATCAGATATTTTTATTTGAATATAATATACAAAACTGGATTTCACTTTTGTTAAACATATTTATTTAATTTCTGATAAATTCAGCATTTAGCAGACATGATACTAATTGAATTAAGGCTTCATATGCACACTGAAGAATTCACTGAAATAAATAATATGCTTTATCTAATCAATAAAATTGTGGCAACATATTACAAGCAATATTATTAATTATATTGTACAAATTAGAATTAATTAGAATATTAATTTGATTAACTATTACTCAATTCTAATTTGTTCCATTTAATAAATAACATTGCTTGTAATCTGTTGCCACAATTTTATTGATTAGATAAAGCATATTCATTTTTACAGTGGAACGTTCAGGGAGGTCAGGATTGAGAAATGGTGCAAGCAGTCACATCATTTATACATATTTCAGTTCATGGGCCTCTGGGATCGACTTGGGATCGACTGTAAAAAAAATATTGTTGGTTTAACTTAAAAAATAAAGTAACCTTGAAGTAATTTTTCAAGGTGAAGTATTTTTTTTAGAGTGTATACATATACAGTATACTACAAAAGTAGTATGGTTCTGAAAAAAGCAATGCAATTAAGTATATATAGAAGTCAAGGCAGATACAAGAGGATTCAAGAAACAGAGGTCTTCAGGTAAAGGTGTGAAGGTCGAGACACTCAATGAGCTGTCGCAACTCAAATCATTGATAAAACTGTCACTTAATAACTTTAGCAACCATCCCACACTTACAGTACTAAGAGCTCTCTTCCTGCACAAGTATTGCTCAAACTCAAGGGTGTTTCATCACTGATTTCAACATTGGCTTGTCCTCAAACCGTGTCGAATAAAAATAAGTGTCAGAGATGCTATGATGCTTAATATCTGATATCATATCTACTGTAGCATTTCAAATCAAGTGTAAATGCACTCATGCTGCAGGATCAGCTTTCATTAAAGGGCTCTTATTATGCTTTTTTCCATGTTCATCTTTCTTTAGTGTGTAATTTTGCAAGATGTAAACTGAACACTTCCTGTTTCAGTTTGTAACTGTTTACTTTATTTCACATGTAAAGAAAACATCTTAAAGATGTTTCTTTAACTTTTTGATTCAGTTTTATATGTTCTGTTGGTTGTATTTTATCCCAGCTTTTATGTAGTGTTAAAAACTGAAACAGGAAGTGCTTCTGGACCAGTGTTGTTTACATCTTTCAAACGCTTCCATTGTAGTCTTGAGTTTTCTTCAGAGGATACAGAACATATTCCTCATTATAATAATTCATATGCCGAATAAAGGGGCGGGGCCTGGTTGAGTTAGTTAGTAGTGTGATAAACTGGCAGTTATGGAAAGGGGCGGGGCATTTACCAAACACACCCGAAGCGCTTGACCAATCACAACACACTGATCCAGCCGACCAATCAGAGCACATTGTGCTTTTCAGAGGGAGGGGCTTCATAGAGAAAGGAAGTAATGGGCCGTTGAATTATTAGAAAATAATAATATTTTCTGTATTATTATATTCAAAATAACGCACATTCAAGGTGGTAATGACGCGAAATAAGTCACTCTAAAAAATGCTGGGTTGTTTCAACCCAATTTTGGGTCAAATATGGACAAACTCAAACATTGGGTTAAAAACTGTTATTTAAAAATGTAACCCAGTGGCTGCGATTGTCCATATTTGACCCAAAATTGGGTTAAAACAACCCAGCAGTTTTTTAGAATGTATGTACACTCTAAAAAATGCTGGGTTGTTTCAACCCAAATTTGGGTCAAATATTGACAAACCCCATGTTGGGTTAAAAATGTAATAAAAAAAAATACAGTTGAAAGTGAAAGTTGAAGTTGGGTTAAATTTTTAAATGACATTTTTAACCCAACATTTGGGTTCGTCCATATTTGACCCAAATTTGGCTTAAAACAACCCAGTTTGTTTAGAGTGTAGTAATTCAACAGACCAGAGTAAATTATTACGGTTACCCCACTTTTAGACATCGATGTATTTCAGAAAATCAAAGAACTACAATAGAGACACCAGAATAACAATATTCATGATCTGAAGCTGAAAATACTGAATTATTTTAGACGAATATGCTTGAACTCTTTCACTCACTTGATGTATTTAAAATAATGTAGGATACTTTTTACACAAATATTGCATTATCATACATTAAATTCAACATTATATATAGTAGTTGAATGTAGTATGGACACTAAAACTCTGTAAACTTGAACTTGAAGCGACTTTTATTTTGGTGAACTGTATTTTGTATTACGATATACTGTGATCCTACTTGATCGATATGTTATCCACTGCGGTGCCGCACATTTTCAAGTGTGGCAGAAGTATCTGAAGACTTTTTCAGGCTGTAGTTTGAGGCCTTTGATAACTATGATGTCAGACCAAAGATGCATACGCACGCAGGTTTTAATGCGACTCGTTTGGTGTGTGTCTTCAGCTGCCACGAGCTGCAGGAGTCGCTGCTCAGCTCTGATAGCGGATACAGCAACTACAGAGGGATCCTCAACTGGTGTGTGGTCATGCTGGTGAGTTTACACACACACACTGGCACTGCACACGACAACCTACGTCCAAATAGAGAGCCTGAGTCCCTCTCTGCGAAAACGAACGAATCTTTTCCCGAGTCAACTCGTTCATTTTGTTCCTAGAATCAACCAAATGTCACGAAAAAAGATTCGTTCATTTTGATAAACGAGTTCGAACAGGAAAGTCACGAACGCGAGCATTTGAGCTTATAAAACTTAAACTTTTTTATTTATTTATTAAATGAGCGATCGTTTCGCTTGATAAGACCCTTATTCATCGTCTGGAATCGTTAAAAGCCCTTTGAACAGTTTGTAGTTTGCACTGAAACTGTCTTTTGGACCTTGAACCGTTTGGTCCCCATTGAAGTCCATTATATGGAGAAAAAGCGCTATGTTTAGGCCCTCGCTGTTACCTGAACATAAATAAAGCCGCTCTGATCACGTCGGTTATTTCCGTCCGCTTCTGCTGGAGTCCTTCCAGCCGGTTGCCCTCAGATGATCTAGAACGATTAAAGTCGAGAAGGA